GTAGTAGTAGTAGTAGTAGTAGTAGTAGTAGTAGTAGGAAACTTGGGCGGAACAACTCGCACCTTGGGGCCATCTGAAGCCGAAGGAAGCGGGGCACCCTTACGACTTACGAGCAAGTCACACAAAAAAGTGAACATTTTGTTATGCAAAAAACGCTAGAAAGACACACAGTGTGTTTGTCCATCGTGCAAAGGACCGAACACACCGATATTTGGCATTTGGCCCTTCTGTTTTCGCTGGAAGCCTTCTCCCCGGCAGTCGGATGCGAAGGGGCATAAACCAGGCTAACCTATAGTTGTGTTTGTGGTTTCTGGTGGGCGCAATTTTGAGCTCATTGATGGTGCAAAAAATGCATTGCGGCAGGAGCAATGCATTTTAGATAACATAAATGTTAGGCAAGCAGGGTCTAGCCGGACCCCCACGTGGGAACCCGGTGCAGGTAATCCCGCAGGGCCACTCACGACTTGTTAGCCAAAGCTAACTTCGTTCGGCCTGTCGGCTGGCTCTTGCATCCAAACGAATCCGAGATCAGCGATACTTGGGGCCAAATGGTCACGACAGTGGATGATGGAATATACAAGTACTTGGATTAGATGTTAACATCCGCTATTTTCCTACTGTGCATATTAAATACACAGTACTGCTTCAATGTTCACAAATGGTGAACATATCAAGTTTCATCCCTGTCATCCCAGATGCAAATTAAAGAAGCGCCCACGAGGCTCATAGGGCCAACCTTGCCCACGAAAACGATTTGAAGGATGAACGCATCCACTGTCTCCATCTGCAAAAGCAAGGTAGACAAGGCCGAAGGGATGTGCCGCAAGCCCAAGGTAAAAAGTTGCTGCCCCAAGACGGAGCAAATCGCGACGCCTGTTCTTCCAGGTGCTGAAATGCTTGTTGCAGGATGAGATAAGCCACGAGGTGAGGTTCGAGAAGTGGATCTTAACATCTTTGCATTTGCATTTTTCTATTGTAATGTCAGGCGGAAACACATATGAACATCTGGCGATTTGGGTCAGTTGTCAATGTCCGTCACCTTACCTGGGACGTTTCCGTTCAGCGCCGCCATCGAATGTTTTCACCCTGGGACTCGCCGGGCGCCTGCGAGGGCGACCAAATGCTGCCAGCTAATGTCTCCAGATCGCTTTCCAAATGAGGTGCCGTACACAAATGGAGTCGCGATGCCCAGCAGGAGGAGGTCCATGAAACAAAAGTACCACCTTAAAACAGCGCCCGTTTTCAAGAGGGTCAGGTTTCGCCAGCGAAGTGCCATCTCATGCTCCTCCTCTATACAGTCATAGAATGAGACTTCTTGGGTATACAAGCTTCCGCAATGCGGAACCATCGACTCTACGGTAAGTCTTTGCCATCTTGCCCCTTTTTTGAGGGGGGACTCTGCTGACCCAGAAGGTTCCCGACCCGCTGGTTTCAGCACTTCAGCTGAATCACACAGGCACTTCGGCTTTCAGCGCTGTTCCTGCCATGACTTTTCGCGTGGTGATGGTGGTGCCAGCGGCCATGAGGGCAGCCAAAAGGAGCAGCACCACGGCAATGACTGGATCCTGAAATAGGCCAAACCGCAAAGTATACTGCTATTGCGACAGCCATGTATATAAATATAGGGTTGTGAATACCTACAGGCTTGTTGGAACTTCCAAGTGTGCATGCCTCCCAGGCAAATGTCTATGGCCTAATTAATGTCTTTTGCAGCAAGACTATGCTATATTATGCAATCGCAGCAGGAAGGAGATCGCTCACAACTGGCTTGGTCAGATTGTGGGGACCACCTCCACTGCAAGGTTTTCGGCACACACACACACACGATCACACACGCGCGTTATCAGGTCTCATGCGTTGTCAGCTGAACTCGCAATCTCTGTGCAAGCAAGGAGCCAAATATAGGTCTGCCGCATGCTTGGATTTGGATGCTCCGTGCTCCTCCTTCGCCACCAAGATGCAACCACAAAGCGATAGACCTGCAAAGCATCTTCCACATCTCTCCTTCTTAACTTTCTTGACAATGGTTAGTTTAATTGATCTTGTCTCTGAGAGCGTGACGGTACAAAATACAAAAACCTGTGCTTCTTTTGTGTTATCATTTAGCCTTTAAGTTGTTTCTGTTCTGTGTGATTCTTCAGCGGCTCATCAGCACATCTCTTCCTTTCATCCATCCATCAGAACTCAATCCAGCACTCCCCTCCGTCCTGTTGCAATCGCATGGATGCACGTCAAGGGCTCGCCTAAGACACCTGCGTGCTAAATGCGGCCTGTTGAAATCCCCCTGGAGCTGTGCCAGGATTGAGAGCATGAAAATCAACACCAAGAACAAAACTAAAAGGATCCAAAGGCTTTGAAGATCTTGCCTATCTCTTCCACCTCTGAAAATGTGAGCTTGACAAGGATCCTGCGTCTTCCCCTCTTTTCGTGTGTGACACAAGTTACGATTACAATGCATGCAACAGGGACCTGGTTCATTGGTTCGCACGTCGCTGTTGATTGTATGGAGGAGTTTTCCACGCGTGTTTTCAGGAGTAGGATATACAACGAAGCGTGAGTTGCATAAACGTGGTGCATGAGATTAAATCAACGAAATGGTCAACAAATCTTTCAACTTCCGACCGCGCATGAAGCTTGGAGGTGGGAGAGCAGGGCATGCAAAGACCCTACTACTCATGTTTTTACTTCAAGGACTCCAGGCAGTAGGACATCGCCTTTCCTTGACTACACAACTATCTATTGTATTAATATATCTATATATTATAATATTAAATATATATATATATTATATATATTGTATATAAACATATAATACTAATAATAAGTACAGCAAGTAATTAAATGACAGTGTCTATCTCACACCCTACACCACATGCTGGTGTGAATCGTACCATGGGTGGAGCAACGCCCTCGGATGCAACAGCAAGAGGTCTCCAAAAGTCTTTCCCAGCAGGGCACATGCGCCCAAAAGCGCGGCGAAGATGGGCTTGACGCTATAGATTGAGATGCTGTCCTTAAAGGCTGCTCAGTGTATTCAAGAGCAGTATGAGCACAGGTCACACTTGGTCCATCCCCGTCGTATGTTGATCCTTTTTTGATCACAGAAGTGAAATGCTCGAAGATATTAACAACATATTATTGAGGTACTTTGCGGTAAACCATGCCCTTGCACCAAATAGGACATCAATGGACATGTTGTGGAAAGGCAGCACTGCCTGAACCCACCAGTGGCCCGTGCAGGTCCCGGTGGTTTCGGGCGAAAAGCCACACCGGGACCTGTCGTACATTGTAACAACCCAATGTCCGCAAGCGTTGCAAGTGTTTGAGACACCGTGCGGGCCGGAACATACTGTCGTCTCACAGCAACCGCTCACCTGAAGGAAACACATGCCCGAAGTTTTATTCATTCCCCGTTCCTAGCTTGGCCACAGGTGTCCCGGACTGTCCAAGAGTAGTACTTAGGCAAAGGACAAGTAAATGTGACCAATAACACCACAATTTACATACATAAAGTTACAAGCAAAGAGTAGTACTCATCCAAGGTACGTAAGCAAAGTAGTGCTTTTTTCGTGCCAGGACATGCCGATACGTGCCCACCAACCAACCCATTGGGATGATCTGTCGAAGTCTCCTTATGCTATGATATCTCTGTCATCGAATCGCCAAAACCGATGACAAAGCTTCTAAAATGCATAAAGTCACTTTCGGATTCTTTCCAGGGAACTTGGTGCCCCCTCAAAGTGCTTGAGAGCAAACCATGAATCCTAGGCGTACTTGTATACACTCATAGACTCATAGTCTTTGATTGTATTCCTGCTTCCTTCCCAGAGTACACTATGCGTCCATGCTTAACCAACAGCATGCAACATTACTGGAAAAAAATACGGGCGTCTAAGGCTCACTGACTAGCACTTTGATCTTCTTGCCTGGGGTAGTTTCACCACCTGCACTGAATGCCAAGCCTCGGACAAAGGCAACGCAATGATCCCCATGAAGTAGAAAACGACGGCGCAGCAGCCCAGGAAGCCCCGAAGACTCAACCAGCCACGCAAGTTTCGCGGGCCCCAAGGAGACTCGCAGCGGGTCAGGAAGACCACACCAACCTCGAACGCACAGTTCGACCGAACGGAGCTTGCGCACAGGAACCACGTTGGTGCGGACAAAGGTGCAGCACGATGAGTGTGATCTACTTTCGCAAGGAGGTTCCAAGTTCGTTCGAAGTTCGTTCAGCCTTCCTCATTGGTTCGTTTGGTTCTTTTTCCGCCAGCGTCAATTCTGGACAATGGCAATCCCGTTGGATGCGATCGTGTGGACACATCCGTGCTGAATCGAAGCAGCTTCAAACAAGCCGATCCCGTTCGTTGCAAACCCTTTGCGTACCATGAATCCTGCTGTGCCAGAAATCCAACAGCCGTGTTGGCAGGGCGCTGCGCGGTGGATATATCATTTGGCGTCCAAGTGTGCCACGGTTCGTCCAAAACCTTGTTCCTAAATGTTCCTGAATCTGTGTTTTATTGCAATCAATCTCTGATCCGGCCAGAACCATGCAATCACAGCCCTAAGGATCTACACATCACATACCTGCAATGGTTGTCAGTTCCAAAAACATACAATCTAGCATACCTGCTGATCCATCTATCATTCTTTCTATGATGATTCTTCGAGCAAAGCCTCAGCGTCTTCAAACCATCGACGCAGCTCATGGGGTGTCCATCTCGTGTCATCCAGCGAAGATTCCAGCTCGGCGCTGAAACGGTTCTTTCAAAAGGGGAGCAGGACACATCTGATTTTGGTGGAGCCAAGCTGGGGCCATGAATATGAACACTGAGCCACAACTATTAGGCACTACCAGCTTGACAGGTCATACGACATCTTGCGCTCGGGAAGGTGTCACCAAACCTTTGAAAGTTGCGGTCTATTACCGTTATATCCTCCAGGCTGCCCATCCGGAGCAAAAGTAAACAAACACACAAAGTCTGCTCCTCTGCGGGTAGGTGGCAAAGCAGGTCTGCAAGATTGCGCGTCCACATAGGATGTCTAGTGTGCTCCTCGACCCGCGCGGGTCCTATCCCAAAGCGGGTCAAACGGTGTGTCGAGCGGAGCATGCAGCAACCCTGGCCTGGAAGAACGTGGTACAGTCGCAAGTGGTCAAAGGGAAATGGCATAAAAGAATGAGTGTGGGACACAGTTGGACACACCCTCTCATTTGCTGGTTGGCGTCTTTCCCAGATGCTTTCAATTGGTACACTCCTGAAAACTAACATGGACCCTGAGAATGGTGTCCTCAGCCCGGCTGTCTCAGGGTCATGCTAGTCCAAGACGCGCGAGACGCGCGAGAAAAGCTGCCAAACCAAAATTGCCTATGACTGAACACTGCTGGAGCCATGTCGGCGCTTCGGCCAAGGTGCAAGGACTTCGCGCACACTTTGACCTGAGTCAACAAGCAACGCTAGTGTTATCCCAGGAAAAGAAATACCAGCCCCACGTACCACTCTGGAACATTAGCTACAATTAGCTACATTAAGTTTATATAGATTCGTGTTGGTTCCAGCACTGGCGCAACACTAGTCACACCCCAAAATCAGTGTGCAGTTGTGTGCTGCTCGACTATTGATATAGAGATATGGTAGATAGATATGGTCACTCTTGCGCAACCTGTCAGGAATTGCTTGACAAGCACATTCTCACCTTTGACCCAAACACACCTCTCTCTGAGTCTGTGCCTGCCCAGGTGCCAAGAGTGCTGCAATTGCCAGGCTCAAAGCTCCCAGCAGTGTGGCCAAGATCCCCCGAACATGCCCAGAGCAGTGATGCGGTTTGGGATCCTGGGCATCCACAGACCCTGGGATTCGACCTCTCTGAAACATTCAGGACCAATTATTGTGGTCAATAGGTACACTCCTTCCTAGAATGGTGAGTGTTTTCGAGGTCTAGGTTTAAGCCTCCAAAGTCAAGTGCAACGCATCGCTACTAGTAGCAAGGACGCTACTAGTAACTAGCTCCTGGCCTTCCTCTAGAAGCTACTAGTAACAAAGGGCATCGCTACTAGCAGCAAGGACGCTATTAGAATGGCGCTCATGGGGCGGCAGCCAGGGTGGCCAGGGCGGCCAGGGGCCTCACACATTGCTGTCGGCGAGGCTCTGATTCTTCATGGCTGGCCACCACCGATGGCTGGCTGCGCGTGCGAATCGTACCAGTCATGGCGAGTCACACAGTTATGGGCTCATGGTGAAACAACAGCCATGGCTCATGGTGGCGTGAACGGTTGCCAACATGTCTAATATAGATAAATCTACTTGGATGTGGCACTCTCTCATTTTACATTCTTTGGACATGTGACACATGATGACATATGCCCCCAAACAGGAGGACACCGGGAATTTCTGCACTGACTCCAACGGACGGAGCACGTCGTTGCTGTGCCGACTCCAACGAAAACTGGCGTTCCGGCGGCACGGCGGCACGGCCGACGGACGCGTTCGGCTCATGTTTTTCGAGCTCAGGTATGGTGACAATCTCCCAAAGCAGGGAGTGATGAGGGACGAGCACAGTGTTTGTGGGCATGCCTTGAAGCTTCAAGCGTGTGCCCAAGTGACGCCCCTAGAACATCTGGGATCATCTGGGCATGAAAGAATTGCCAAAAAGATCCAAAAAGAATTGTGAAAGGATGAACTCGATTTCCAAGGGATTACCATCACCAGTGTGCCATTGAACCATATTGAACCCTGTTTCTCGTCTTCATTGAAAAGAAACGAACTCGATTCGCCCAGGTTCTTCTCAGGTTTGGGCTGCAGGTCCAGCTCTGGAGATGGGTGCCTTTTTGGAAGCTCCGAAGAGCCAGCACCCATTGCTGTGCATGTTGCGTGTTCTCCAGAAATTTCCAGCATCTCATTCAAACACATGCGGCCGAAAAGAAATACACATGGCCCATCTCGGCAAGTTGTGCGATGCTCCAAGCAATCGCCTGTCACAGCGACAACAGCTCGCCCACTCAAACTAAGGAGGGGCACTGAGCAGATTGGAGTGCAACAACTACAGTGATGAACCCTTCCAAAGTGCATGTGCGACTAGAGAACACCACTGAGAATCCTCTATTGAGTCTTTGTGCACTCCCCATCGTTCAACAACGGCCAAATTGGCACAGCTTGGTAAGCAGTGCCTAGCATGTCTTGAAACACACAGTCCACGCAAAGTCTCGTAACTTGCATGGTACAACTGCCAAACTGGCAGCAGAAGGATTGTTGTTGGTTGCGTCGTTTTTGAAACACTGTAAGGACGTGAATAGCGGGTACACCACCACTCAGCTGCTGTGTTGAACTTCATTGCACACATTGCGCACCTTGATATCTGCACAGTACAGCTGACGCAATCCAAATCCATTGAATCAATAAACAGAACAGAACAGACCAGACCATTTTGCCCTAGCGGAGTCCGGAATTCTGGGAAATACGCGGAGTTCTCCATTCGGCCACAGGGAGGCAGCTCTGATTGCTTTTGTACAAGAATAGCTCATCTGTTCTTATCTATTGTCACCTTTTTGGCCTCCTGATTCGCCATTCTTCCATTCAACATCTATCAGAATCTATCAATAATATGGTGCACCCACATTTTCACGGGAGCTGCTAGCAGGTGCCAACCAAATGACCTCCTGCCTACACCAGCGCGTGAAGGAGGGTCGGTTCCTGTGGTTGCACCCACACACCGGCGACTCGTCGTGTTGTTCGAAAGTGAAGGTTGCCGTGGGTCGGAAGTGGTCGTGTCCCATCAGGGCCACCGGTGGACCATGAGTTGCCTTTCGAATTGACTGTCGGTCATGGGGGGTCGAGACGTCGCGCCTCCGAGAGTCGTCCGAGACGAAAGGCCAAGGGATCGTAGCATGTCACTCTCGTCTTGACAATGTCACTCCCTGTGTCCAAACGTTGAAATCGGTTGACAAACAAATAAATCACTTCAAATGATGTGATCAACAAGCCAGGGGAAGTCCACCTGTGCCTGCCGGTTGTATCTACACGTGTATCCGAGCCTTTTCAGAGCTCCTGAGCCTGAGCACACCCTTCAGCTTTCGAAACCAGGACGAACGCCATAGCATCCATAGCTGTCAATCCAAAGTGCCTCTGACCCTCTCTATCTATGCCGTGACATGGACAACAAAGGGGCCAACTTAGATATCTTGCATCACTTCACGCTGTTGACGAGAAGGACCCTAAGGACACCCAGCTCTGCCAGCTGCCACCTCTTCCCTATTGGTAATCCCTTTAGCTTCGACTTTCCGATGCTGAATTGAACCGCGCTACCATGCACCAAAGACCCAAAATGTCAAGAAAGCTCTGGCTCAAGCTTGCCAAAGACTCGTCCTCGAATTACTGGTGAGATGTTGAAACACTGACGTTGCAGTCAGGATGAGCCAGCCAAATGGGGCTCGATTGCTGACAGGGCTGGTCCAAAAGCGCAACTCCAAAGCACAAGGCTTGATTCAGGACGCAGTGGCTGTTCAAAAAACTGAACACATGAAAGCCCAACCGCTTTTGATTGGGCTCCCCCAGCACCTGCCCGCAGGTAGTCAACCAACCTTTCCGAAACGTTTATATACATGTACTCTCACAGGAAGACGCGCAACCATCAGGCTGCCTTGATTGGTCACAGTCTCCGCAGAGACCATCTGGAAAGCCGTCCACCTGGTCGCCTTCACTCATGAAAACACTGGTCTGAACCGAGGTAATTAGCTGGCCAACTTTCACGGAGTGTAACGCAGCTTTGGGACAGTGCATGCAAAAATAAAATTTCAAGATATTATATACAAGCCTAAGCGGTGGATGCACTATCGGCTATTTTTAGTTATTTTAGTTGTGAACGAAATATAACAAAATGCAGTGCGGCATCACGTACGTGGTCACAAAAGCGAATTCAACATGTTCAACTGAACCTACGCCCAAACCAGCGGGATGCCCAAGACCAGCCTTCCAGCATACAATCTTACCATACTCCATCTGCCCGGAAAAATGGGTCAGGAGGTCATGGAGTATGGAAAAATGTTACCATACTCCATCTTAGCAATACTCCATGACCCATGACCTCCTGGCTCATGATGGGTCATGGGTCATCCTCCGCTCGGCCGTTGGGTCGGCGATGGTCGGCTCAGTCGCTCTCGGCCGTCCCAGTCGCTTGATCAGCATCCGCATCGACGAAGCCAGCCTCAGTGACACCCACACGGTGCCCCGCGAGTTCACCAACCAGAATTGGTTCATTTGTTCTGCTTTTAATAGTTATATAATAATGTTAATCGTTAGTTGTTCTTTGATGTTTCAAAATTTGAATGCATTCCTCTTGGAAATGGTGGAAGGATGTTCAAGGAAAATCCAACTGGAACTGATGCCTGCGCCAGAAATTGCTGGCAATCCATGCAGGAACAAGATTTGTTTGTCCACCCTGAATTCCATTGGCACAGTTTGTTCCTGCAAGGCTGCAGCTCACCGCCTTGCAAAAACCGGTAGTTTTGAAATTTGGGTGCCAGAAACTAGATTCAATTCTTTCGGCCCAGTTTTCCTTCAAGGCTAACCACCTCGTCTCTCAGAAATCTCTGCTCCTATTCCACCCTGGTCCTATCCCCCGGTTCTGAAGAGGTTTGGTCTTTCGATCTCTCGAAGACATGTACTCTTTGGGACGCCTCTTCATGAGGAGATTTGGTCTTTGGGATTCCTCTTCATGAAAGTGGTGCAGAAATCAAGACCATGATGCAAGGTCAAGATGAAGCGTTCTGAAAGGTCCTGATTGACATGAGGAAAAGATGGAGTCTTTGGGATCTCTTCTCATGGAGAGATTTAGTTTTTGGAAAAAAGGAAACATCATTGGGCCATTGGGGAATCTCCTCATTAGTTGAAGGGTATTAACGGTATCTATCTATGTATCTTTGGGCTCTCTCCTCATGAAAATAGTTTGGTCCTTGGGATCTCTCCTCCACATTGATTGGGGTGTTGGTGCTCCACATTTCTTGGTTCTCAAACCTCCTGAGCTGCGGTGTTCTTCATCCGGTGTCGCAAAGGCCGCCAGGCCTGAGAGGTAGGCTCTTACTGTGGCCTCTGACTGGCGGCCTGAACCAGGCGCGGATTACGGGCCATTTTGTTCACTTCGCTGCGCCGTCATGGGGCGACATCATTCTTCCTCCACAGCCCTCAGCGTTGGAGCATTTACTCCAAGGTCTAAGGGTTTGCCAGCAGAGGAGAGCTGAAGTTTCACGTCCAGAAGCACGTCCTGAGTGCTGCTTGAATTGAGGAGCAAAAAACACCACCATGGGGAACAAAAATGACCGAAAGATCAAAAATCGCTAGAAAAGTGTCCCTGGCCCTGGCAACAAGAACATGTGAATAGATCGCGTAATTCTTCCATAAATAAACTGCCAATTGCGAGTGAGAACAAAGAAGACGGAAGGCGTGCCACCAATATATTGCACGTCATGCTTGGAAAATGTTCAGCTAGCAAAGCCCTGAGAAAAAAACACACATATGATGACACATCAAGGGAGTTGCCACACCACAAGAAGATCTGTTTCGATCTGTTTCCACGTTTGCTGCCAAGTACAGCCTAACCCAAACATGACAACATGAAACATCAGCATGTACGAAATTGTGGGATGCGTCTGTGGCTCCAAATCTGGAGGAGCACCCTATGACAGACTGTCGTATGCCGAGGCAAACACTAGACTATTTGGGAATCAATGAGCAACACGAGAAGACCCCACCCAACTGATGCATTGTCTCACCCCGGCCGAGCAAATCCAAGATGTCAAGTGCTGCTTCTGGACTGGCCCACTGAACCTCTGTCAAGGCCAATTCCGCCTGTCTTCGACTAAAGCCATCTCTTTGCCTCAGCATCTTTGACACTCAAATTTAGCCTGCTGCCTTAAGGCTCTGCAATTGGTGCAATATATATAATATATATATTTATAGTTATATATATATATAGAGAGAGAGGCAGCATTACATGCTGGTATCTCGAAAGAACAGTTCTTCAGACGATTTTTCCCTAGTCTTTTTCCACGTTCTATCTACCTGAATCTACCTTCCGCCCCCCTCATAGGCTGCCCGAATCACAGAACTGGACGAGTTGAAGTGATGAAACAAGATTGAACACCTTAACTTCCTAACTTTCGCCCAGTTTGCAGCGTCTCCATCATCTCCTCTTCACGATGGACGCCAGGGCCCTCGTGGAAGAAACTCCTCTTCCCGTACATCTGGTCATCGGGAGTGAACATGCACTGAACATTCCTGGCTTGATTGGTACGCGAAAGCGCTGGCGCGGAACCGGCCGGGGGGTTGGTGACCAGCGGACGCTGCATCTAATCTATCTGGCCCTTCAAACGGCTTGGGATGTGCGGCATGATGTGAAATATGGTGAAACATGTCCCTCACACGTCCAAGAGGGGACGTTGAACCCGCGTACGCGGGGGAGGGGTCACTGCAGTGGATAATTCATGTGGAATCCCTCAGCCAATAACTTGCTAAATGAAGCAAGGCAAGAGTAATTATATAACTCCAGCTAGCTGAAGCTAGCTTTTGTGATGACAGGGGAAGTGCCTTTAAAACCTTTACTTTTGGGGTGCCATCTAGAGTCTTCCGTGAGGATGGTTTTCCACTTGAAGGCTTCTGGGGTAGGGGCTAATGCGGTCCGAGCCAAACTTCTTTCAGATGTTTCTACTCTTCAGATCTCTTCAGTGTTTCGGGTGCCATTCCCAAAACTCGTGTTCCTTGGATGTAGATCCGCGCGTGCGTGCGTGCGTGCGTGCGTGCGTGACCAGGTTGGTTTGGTGCATGTCTCACCGGGCAACTTCAGTATGTTTGTTCTTGGTCGGAATCATTGGAATTCACGGAGGAACTGCTTGCTTTGGGAAACATTGGGAAACTTTTTCATGAGATTCCCTAAAGGAATGACACTGAGGCTGATATTCACACACTGAGGCTGAAACGAGAGGATGGCTGAAACGAGAGGATGGCCGAAACGGCGCTCAACGGCCACCCCTTCGGAACCCTCGAATCCACATCTCAACGGCCAGATTCTGATTGGGGCTTTCGTCACCAGTCTCCTTCTTGTCATCAGCTGCTACCTACCAAAGGGGTGCCACCGGCTGTTCATGAACCAGTCGTATAAATTAAATAGAACTCGATTGGAATTCAGATGGACAGGGAGTAGTTCACTGCTCCCAAACAAACTTGACATGAGGGCCTTCTACCATGGTCGTTCCCCACCTCTTGGTACTCCATCTTCCTCTGACCCTTCACCACCAGGCTGACGCCCATGAAAATACTAGCCAAGCCAACCAGGCTTTGCCAAGTGAACGCAGCGTTCGGCAAGAAGAAGAGCTGTTGCCAAACAAATGAAAAGACCTGCTCGAAGGCTCAGCAAGGAGAGAACATGTCACATGGCAAGACATCTTTGTTACAGTCCTTACTTCTTCCTGCGTAGTTTTTCGGCATGTTGATGTTGGTCTACCTTGCCGTTTGGGCACTTGATGCAGCCTAACAAGAAGCTAGTAGAAACAAGTGCCACGCTAGTAGTAACAGGTGCCTTACTAGTAGTAACAAGAAGCTATTAAATTTACTTTAATTTTAATTCTAATAGCTTCTTGTTACTACTAGTAAGGCACCTGTTACTAGTAGCGTGGCACGTGTTACTAGTAGTAACAAGAAGCTAGTAGTTGGTCTTCTTGAAATTTGAAGTCTTGGGTGCCGAAGTCCTCTCCTCTTGCCTCTCACCCTCTTCCTAAGTTGTCCCTTGCAGACTTGCGTCGCATGGGCAGCATGGGGAGCGCGCAGAAAACATCTTGCAAATGAGTATAAATGAGTGCATTGTTCTTGCTTTTTTCCTTGTTCTTTCTTCCCCTCTCTTTCTCTCTCTAACTCTCGCTCGATTTCGTCTTTCTGTCTGCTTTCGTTTAACGTTCTCGCAGGTTTGTCTGTCCTTGCGGGTGCTGTTGGCACGCAGCATAAGGCATAGGCTTGGTAGGTGTATCCTCTGCTCGGTATCCTTTATTCTTGCTTAGATCACTAAGGCGGTCAAGCAGCATAGTAAAACGGAGGTTTTAAAAAATGTATTGAAACTTCTGTCTGCTTCGTGGCCGCAGCAAAATGCGAACTTCTTGCTCAGTTGTAAGTTGATGCCGTTGTGGGCAAATCTTGCAATGACTTGGAAAAGCATCGCAGCAGCAAATTTAAACTTTCTGTGGGGGACCCCGGCTGCCTATGCATTCGCAAACCTTTCGGGAGCTTTGCGACTCTTTCGTGCAAGTTAAGTTGTTGTGAGTCTGGCTTAAAACCCACTACCATTTAATGTAATTGTCCACAGCGACTCTAGACTCAACCAATCAATTCACATAATACCAAAAATACACGGATAAACATTAACACATATTTGTGTCTTCTGTTGGTCATCCTAGACTTGGGGTTGCAAAACCCTCCCAATATAGGTATCCGATTGGTCAATGTTCAAACGTTCGGGCTCACACTGCGGGCAAGCAGCAGGAATGAAGCTCTGTACAACCATTGCTCCAACAGCTGTCTTCTCCAGAGCGATCCTGTTCCCGGCAATATGATTCAATGATGTTTCGATTCTTACTCGGGGAGCAGCATACAGGTCAGTAATACACAGTGAGAACACTGAACCTTATGTAGACTCTTGATCAATAAACCCCCCATATGAAGAGGATTTCCAATTCAAATTGGGGGAGTTATTCATCATTCAGTTCGCATGCTGCAATACAAGGAGGCATGATGAGGGTCCCTGGGCTCGCTTCTAAGCTCGATGCTCTCCATCGGCACGAGAAGACCGGATCCAACTCACCGGTCGCCCCACGCGAGATCGGTGAAACCACATCGAAGCGGGCAGCGTTGTGACGGAGAGCGGCCCAATTTGTTTTTCCAAAACAATTTTCCACTCAATGACCACAGCCCGGCCCGGAGATTTTTGGGTCCAAAGTATGAAAAAGCCATAAGAACGCCTCCGAGTGGCCCCTTGGTCATCGCCGCTTGTGAAGCAAAGGCCGCTAGGGTGATCGCCAACACAAAGGCAGCCTGCTGGCGGCTGAGGATCCTTGGTGGAGGACAAGACTGCTTAACAGATCTAGCTTAAAACTGATACCCCACTGAAAACTCACTGTTCGACCCTGAAAACCACTGGGTTTGTAGAGGAAAAACCGTCAAACTGAGGGTGTCATTCGACCCGGGTCCATGTGGAGTCCAACAAGTCGGACGAACTCTCGCTGAGGAGACGCCGTTCTTGAAAAACCTTCGGTGATAGGAGAGGGGCCGACGAAATGAAGCACACATCGGTCCGTTTTGATGGCATTCATATTGCATTAGTGTCACTAGCACAAGTCGCGAATCGCAAGTCTTCACCAAGATTGGCCATCCACCATGTGAGATCCAACCTCCTGTGACCTGTGGAGCCTGTGGATCTTCGTTTGGTGAGTCTAACATCCGCCATTTGAAGGCCTCTTCAGAGGCCCAGCCCAAGTCTTGCCAAGGATCCTCAGTGGTCTTGAGATGGCAAGCGCCACTGGAGAGAAAACCACCAGCCCAACGCTCTGGGAAAGCACCGTGGAGGCCCAATGCACCTGGTCATGACGAGAATTCAAGTAGCCGTTGTCTTGTCTCCCAAACCGAAGCTCCAACATGTCACATGCTGGGCTCATCGGCTGGTCTTGTGCTGCCTCCAAAAATGGGAGGACAAAAATCTGACTGGTGCAACTCACTCTCACCACAATTACTCGCACCCACCTTCACTCTCACTCGCACTCACTCACGCTTTGGGGGGAACCTCTGCAGGCCTGAGCACCTTTTAGTACATTCTTGTGGGTTTTCTTCCTCACCCTCACCGCATGCACACCTCCTCCCACCTGCGAGGTGCCCAAAAAACGCACCAGCGCATAGACTCCACCACTGAAGGAAGCAGACAGCAAACCACAGCAGACAGCTCCGAGAGTTCCGTCACTGGAGTTCCTGATGAAGCTGATGCGTCGTGATGAAGCTGATTCACCGGAACCCGAGCACCCGGATCGTCGTATTTTTAAAGACGAAGAGCGAGCTGAGCGAGCTACCCGCCGACCCTTGAGGTCGTTTCAATCCTCGGCGTCCCCAATGGTTGGTCCATTTTGGTGTCTTCACTCTGGCCTGGCTGGTGACATCGATCTATAGTGGATTGAGAGTATATGGCACAGACCCCAAGAGGAGGTGTATGTGGACCCTCATCTAAAGGCCATCATGGGGTCTGTGTCATCTACTCTGAAACTCTCTAGAAACTACGGTAACAAGATCACGCCCATCAATCGAATGAACGCATTGTCGCATGTTGTCGCATCCTCTGCCTGTCTTTGAGGGACATCCCTCGGCCAAGAGACGAAGACCGCTCACCTTCCGGCTGACCTTCCATCAAAGCAACACCGAAGACCGCTCCCAGCGCACCCCAGAACTCTGTGCCACTCCAGTGCTCCTTGAGGAAGACCCGGGCCAAGGCCGCCTCAGTGGGTGAGTAGATCGATGATTGGAAGATCCCAAGAAAGCAATATAGGATCAATAGGAAACCGGATGGAAACCGATCATGTCTTTTTGGTGGGTTTCATTATTCATACTCCAGCTATTTCAACATATGCCAATACCTCAGGACGATCCAGCACAACTGATGTCGTATTGTATCTGATTATAGTCATGAATCAGGGTTCCAACACACCTCCATTGCAAAAGCATCAAAAGCTGGCACGCAACATTATGTAACTCCTGTCTGTGTCAACCTCAGGGAGCCCCCAACCAATTGCCCGCCATGGCTCTTCATTTGATGTCCTTTAAACTCCAAATTTCTGGGGACGTGATGGCAACACACCCATTTCTGAACCGAAGTCAAATCTTGCTCATTTCAGGGCTCTGACTGAGGTCTTGTTCAAAAAACATCTTGCTCGCGTAGAAATCTTGGGTACGACCGCCAGTCTTCTGAGCATCTGGCATGTTTAGCAGAATGGTTTAACAATAGGCTAAAATGTGTGTAAACAACTTAGCAAGGCTGTGTGCAAAGACTAGTGCAACAAATGGTAGGAAAGTTGAAGCAAAGGAAGAACAAAAGGAATGGACCAAAGAAACAAACATGTTCAAGACTCTGCCCTGTCATCCTTTCTGGCATGTGATCTGAGAATGGCCCTGCCGTCAAGTCTGGCATGTGTTCCGACATGTTTTCTGGCATGTACTTCTGCCAGGTGCTCTCGCATCAACTCTGTTATGTGTTCTGACACGTGTTGTGACATATGGTCCGGTTTCTGATCTGACATGTGCGCTGCGATTTGTCATGTTTTGGTCATGTATTCTGACAGTTGTTCTGCCATCAAACCTGCCATTTGTTCTCGCATTTGTTCTGACGTATGTTCTGATATATTTTGATGCATTCTGACAGGTCACCTAAGCTCTGTCAATTGTTCTGGCCACTGTCCGACAAGTGTTTCGACATTCCGAGAACTGACGTGTGTTCTGACATCGCTGACATCAAACGTGTGGCATGTGTTTGTCACCGGTCCTGCCCTTTCTTCCGGTCCAGCACCCCACTGTGCCAGTCCAACACACGGACCGCGCAGTCAGTCCAGCGGAGCGGGAACGGGTGCGGGAACACCGACAAGTGGTGGGGAAAACTTAGGCCGCCTGTAGGCCGAAAAAGACGCAGAAGAACACCAACAACAAAGGAAAAAGTGATGTTCCTCTCATAATGGTTCTGAAGGGCGTTTGTATGCGTCGGTTGTGGAAAGGGTTTTGAAGCGACGTCTCATCCGTCATTGTTTCCAACGGCGGTGATTTGGGCCGACTGCAGCGATGCAGCGCTTGCAGGGATTTGCACTCACAGCCACTTGCCAAAGTGGCTACAACTACGCCAAAGGGCTTCACTCAACTAAACACATCTTCTTGAACCACCTTGAGGAATTGAGCCATTTCCCAGAAGAAAGCATGCCAATGAATTGACCGAACTTGTCAGAAAGCGGCCGAGAACATGGGCGCCGTCTGCTCCCAAATCTGCCAGTCGGCCAAGGGCATGAAGTGAACGGACCAAACGCCTCGGCGAGTCGATGTCAATGACGAAGCACAGCGTGACAGGAACCACGTCAAGCGCGGTGAGGGGATGTGTTCAAGGAACCACAATGAGCACAGCATTTGAAGCAGCCATTGAACCAATGGAAGAACCTATGCTTTTGAAGCCGAAGTCCGGATACAATGAATTAATACACAATGAATACAGCCCCCTTCAGGTGGGGACTATGAGGTCGAGTGGCTGAAGCACAGGGCCAGGTAGCCAATGAAAGCTCGGCCCAGCAACGCCATGCGATCGCTGGAAGTGGTGCCCAACCATGCTTTCACCCGAACGCCTCGACACATGCTGAGTAGCTGCACTGAAAGATCCTAGGAAGCTCACATGGTCGAGTCAACCGATCGACTATAATGTCAACTTAGGATTAACCAACCTCCCCATATTAATCAAGCCCGGTTCAAGCCCCCAAGAACCGACTAATTTAAAGCCTGAAATTTCACTTTGTCCTCACCCGCAGAATCAGAAACCTCCTCCTATTAATCACGGCCATCTGCACCCAGAAAAAGAATACATATATGTAAATATGAATTAACTATATGAAATGACTTAATTATGTTTGATTAGATCAATTTTTGTCACTTGGCATCCAATATCTGACCATCCAGTATAGGCATCCACATGCATCCACCCTCACAACATAGAGCCTGCATCCCCCATTCCTCCTCCATGCTCTCATATGCGGTGATCCAATTGGCATGGCTCTGATCTATCAAATCTCTTGTCAAGATTGTGCCAATATACTAAGACTAAGAGCTCTCATGGTTCTCATGGCTCAAACGCTCATGATTCACACAGAACCCCATCAACCGCTCATGATTCACACAGAACCCCATCAACCACCATCCATCACCAGGTCCAGGTCATCACCTCATCGTCCATCATTACCTTTATTACGGGGATCTGGTCTCCAACACCTCAAATCTAAAACCTTGTTGACCTTGAGGGGGGGGTGATTAATCCTACGTCGACATTATAGACCTACATGATAAATATGTATAGTATATATATAATATATATTATTATATTATAATATATATATAATGTTGACCTCATAATAATAAATGGCCCGTGAATAATACTATATAAATATTTTCAAAAACCAACAATAAATGGCCCTCAAATAATACTATTTTTTCTGGACCCTGATTTTCTTTTCATTTTCCTTTCCTTTCCTTTTCCTTTCATTTCTTTTCCTTTCCTTTAGTTTCCTTTCCTTTCCTTTCATTTCCAATTCAAATCAAGATGTTCTAGGATTTTTACGGATTTCATATTATTTGGGGCCCACACTTGATCTATTAGGAGGCGGACATTATGCGAAATTAATCCAACTCTTTCTGTAGGAACTTCCCATGAATGCAATCTCCCGCTTTGATTGCAGTGTGTCACTTCCACCACGCCAATTTGGATGCTCCAAAGCGTTTGTATAAAGCAAACCCGCGCGTCTCAGGCCTACTTGGGATTTCGGGACTCGTGCATCTCTTTCGGAGAGATGCTACCGCTCGTTGTGCTGCCCCTGGGCGCCTTCTGCAGAAAGGCAAAGGCAAGAGCCAAGCACCTGTCCAAATCCTGACCATGGGGAGGGTGCGCAGGGAGCAGCAGGAAGTCAACGTTGACGACCGGAGAAAGAAATGACTGCTTTACCCGGGTTCCCCCCATCAAAACACGTCAAAATACGCCAAAGAACATGGAAACGGCATGTCTTTATGTTTCTTCGACCAACACTTCGGACTCCTCTGAGGGTGAGGATCTGGAAAGAACCAACCTCTTCCAGCGTGAGGCACCTTACCTCAGCTTGTTGTATGCTCGGAGGGCTGATTGACCAGCAAACACAGACCTGGGCTGGTTCCCAGCATAATTAGCATGCTTCTTGATCTTCGCAGGATTGCAAGACTACTCAAACTGACAAAGGCATCAAAAGCAAAGCAACCACGCTGAGTCCAATTCGACATTCTCCCCCTTCCCCCAGCCGCTCCACTGCTCCTGCCCAGTTGCCAAGAAAGCTTGGACTGAGAAGCCGAAGGCTGAGACCAGCAGGATCAGCAGGATAGGCCATCGATCGGTGGGCAACAGCATGGCGACACATGGTCGACTCAGTCTACAGGGAATGCCCAGGATCCATCGAGAATTCCATGGAAATGTACTACATCTTCTTCAGGATGCAAATATGGATGCTGTTAGTTCATTCTCATTTCTTTGCAATGTCGTGCCAGGACGTGGAAGACTCTGAGGGAGACTCCCTCCCATGGAGCAATCTGAGGCCCAGCCATGAGGTTGGGGCGAAGACCATTTCACAAAGGGCTGCACGACAATGATATATGTATACTATATATTATATTATGTTAAATTATACATGATACAATATGTATCTGTATCAGTATATAGGTATATAGAAGTACACAAAATTACACAAACAATACAGTAATTATTGGCATCATGTGGCATCAGTGGCATCCATTAGCTTTAGTCTGCATGAGTCATCATAACACTCCGCACTCATGTATCATCGATCTCTGCCTGGGTGCATTTCACATTCTTGAGACATCGATGGTGTGGCGGTTTCCGGCTCTAAATATGACCGTACCGGACAACAAACAGGTTTGACAATGGTCTGCCCTGAGAAGAACACAAAAAAGGGTTTGAAAGGATATGATTTGTGAAGCAATGTACATGCATGTGCTGAAACCAGGGGCTTGCCTTCTCGTCAACAATAATCAGCTACAACTACAACATGCTACAACCTCCTCTCACAGGCGCGCCAGGCAATCCACAATGCCCCCACCAGGGGCCCGAGCACAACTGTCATGACTTCAGGAATGAAGGCTTCGGAACCTCCGGTGCCGGTTGAGAAGCTGAGCATCGCTGAACCCATGCGCACGCGCTCTCTTGCAAAAGGCCCAAGGCGAAGCTGGATGCCCTTCGGCTCAGTAGATCGACGATCGATGTGGATGAAGTTCAGCTTTGGCACATTTGCGCACCAAGAAAACCACTAGCCTGTTAGCGACACGAGAGATAACGGTGTCGAATCGCCCACCTCTGTTGCTTGAGGTCCTTCGGGTGTCAAGAAAATCCTTGGATCATGGCGCAAGCCAAGCCGACCTTCCTCCCAGAATTGGCTAGAAAAGAAATCAGCTGGGAAACCTACTCGGTCGCTCCTTCAGGAATTACTCGGTCACTCCTGGTCTCCTGTGGATTTTCCCTTAACCAACCCCTTGGCCCCTTGACTTCCACATGCTTCCACATGCGAGCGAACCGGACCCATGAGGACCGAGCGAACCGGACCCATGAGGCGGTTTTCGGCCAAGCGTCATGTTCTGTGCACCGGGCTCATTCCGCAAAGCCCCAGGCTCGTGGAGCGGAGGGGGAGGAGGTCTAGGAGCTGATTTGCCTTGGCACAGTGCTAGCAGCCTAGCAGCTTCAAAGGGCTCACACGGGCGTTTTTTCCCTTCGATACATCCGTTTGCTGCAAACGTAAAACTTACTCTTTGTAATTTGTAACATGTTCTTGACAAGTCTTGGGCAAATCTTGGCCAGTCACCCGGTCCTTTGGTTTGAGCAGAGAGGAAGACTGAAGGGATTTGGCCGTTCCTCGGTTCGAGACACAAGATTTGGCAGCACACACGTGGTCACCCGCAAATGGGAATGCCTGCGAGGGGCACGAAACAAACTTGTTAGATTGCTGGACAGTGTTTTTCCTCTTGATTTATGTCCATCGGCGTGTGTGTTTGTTCTTTCTTTGGGGGGGGCGTTCTAGTTCAAGAGTCTCCATTGAACGCAATCCATTCTTGTCGGTCCATCAACTCATCAGAGTGAGACATCGCCTCAAATCTGGCCCAGGTTCTGCAACGCTGTGTATGTGGAGAAAAATTGCACCTCGATGAAGCTTCAGGCTTCAGGTCAGACCGCGACTGGTGGAGGTTTCAGGCTTTGGCGCGACTCGTAAGGAATGAGGATGAAAGGACTGAGTCTCGTGGAACCTCATTCACCCAAGGGCCCCCTGCGCGTCGTCGGGTTTGTTTCCTTGAAAGAAATAGGCTTCACATGGCTTCACTAGTGTTGGATCCTGATTAATAATAGGGTCGAGTCCTCGAAAATGCTAAATTGTCCAAACATAATTCTGGACATGTTTGTTTTAGGGGTTCTCTATTGGGCTAATCTGAAAGTTAAAATGTTTCAAATCCTTCGGAGATCTGTGAATACTACTAAGCCATTGACGAATGACTGGTTTGCTGAGATTATTGATGAGTGTATATATATATATAGGTTTCTCTAGATCTTCCCCAAAACTCACAGCTTCCCAAAGCCATCAATTCCTTAATCAATCCTCTATATAACGATTGCTCCTAAATTAAATTTCAAGGTAGTAGACCAGGAAGGCCCCTGAACCTCAATAATAAGTGCATGTGTTTTGAGGGTTCTGAATTGTGCAAAGTGGTTTTCATCAGAAAAGAACATCTTCATACTACTGAGCCAATGGCTGGCTTGCTGAGAGTATTATTGGTAATCATATGTTTCTTTAGTTCTTCAAAACTCGCAGCTTCCCAAAGCCTTCAACTCCTTAATCAATCCTTTATTTAAAGATTGTTCCTAAACACATTTTCAAGGTAGTCGACCTCAAGATCTGCTGAAGGAAAACACATACTACAATCAATTACTAAAGGAATCCTCCCAGCAACGCAGATTTGTTTGGGTGGTAGTTTATATACAGGGCATCCCATTTGTTTACAGAACGGCAGGCCCTGGAAGTGCACTGTTTCACCTATTTTGAGTGATCTGGAGGTGCATGTTTTAGTAAAGTTCAAGGATCTACTGAGATTAATTCACAGCACCAGTACTGCCAAGGACATCTCAACTGCTGTACTCTGAAAAATGCATAGGCCTTGAACAACAAAAACAAAAAACAATCCTGCGAGACTCTTTGGTGAGTAAACCAAAAAAAAACAATCCTGACAGAGTCTTTGGACACCCCCCCCAGCCCAAGACCTCCCAGCAATTGTTGTGTTTTTTTTTGGGGGGGTTTACTCACCAAAGAGTCTTCTAGGATTGCTTTTTTTTTTTTGGGGGGGGTTGGGGTTTATTCACCAAAGAGTCTTCTAGGATTGTTGTTTTTGTTTTTTTTGGTTTTTGAACACCTACCCCTAGACAAGACTTCTGAAGAGTTGGTTGGTTTTGTTTGTTTTATTTTGTGTTTTGGCTTCTCTAACTTGTTCATCACATTCAGCATTTTGATGCATTTTGAATTACAAATAGAGCACCTTGTAGCATTTCCCTCAAGGAGTATACTTGGCGAAATACTTGTGTTAAGTCACAACTAGCAAATGAAGGCAAACATGTCAGATAACTTAGTAGAGCTAAGTTAATTGGTCAAAAAGGTGCACTTCCACAGCCTGCCAGACTCCAGATTTTGAGGGGGGGCCCTTTACTAATCAAGATCCAACATTCTAGGCTTTCCCGTCATGGCGAAAAGCCGTTTTCTTCCTGGTTTTGGGCTGGTCCCGCGTGAGAAAAGGCTCAAGGACTACTTAGCATACCACACCCTTTTTCATGGCGAAAACGCCATCCATCTCCATTCTCCGTCTCCACGTCTCTTTCTAGAACCCGACACCGCTCGTCTTTGGGAGGCGTGTTTGGCACTGAAAGAAGCTCCGGCACTTTGAGTAGTGCTTCCTGCTCGTAGCCCAATGTACAATTAAGGTTCCTCGCGCAAGTCAGTGGCATCGAGCTTCGAAAGGGGATCCTACCAATTTCCTCACATGATCCAGCATGATCATGCGCTGCATGTGTTTCAAGAGATTCCTCTTCAAGACGTCCAATACTTTCGGCAAAGGAATCCTTTTCTGCTGGTGCTGTCGCTGGCTGTGCCTTAAAAACCCCTGATCCGACCCCTTGACCCATTGTCTCCTGTCAATTAAGAAAGGGTCCTCAATGTGCAGCCGCCGCGCCTGGCCAACCGATTTCGACCGAACGAACGCGCCACTTGCACACGCTTGCCACTTGCACCAGCTCCGCCCTGGCAGTGGATCCAAGGGATGAAAAAGGAACATGACTGGAAGATTGATTGGTTTTGGCATGTTTTTGGCCGTTTGATCTCCTTCAGCCCCGTTTGCAGCGTCGGTCCAAGGCCCAGGCAGTCACACCCGCCAATGCTCGAAAACTCGGCTCTCGGGCAAAGGCCCTGCCAGCATCGACTCTTTGGGCATCGACCGTTGCAAATGCAAAAGGGGAATCATATGGAATCCGGCAAAAAAGACTTAGCTTGGAGGCCATTGCTAGTAGTTTGGAGGCGTTGGAAGCCATCGCTAG